TACTAGTTAAGAAACGTTTTTCTACTTTTTATTTAAATCGAATACTTTTTAAAAAACTTTATTTTATGTATAAACTTATATTTAAAGAATTTATATAATTTTTTGAGGAATGTATAAATAAGAGAGAAATCAATTTTGCTGCTGGTTTTCCTTACCGACATTAAGGTATTGAAGCGAAAAAGTTAATTCTCAACTTTGTTGTAGCAATTACAATAAATTTATTACCCCTTTTCAAATAGATTATTTTTCCCTTAGAATAAAAAGTATAAGTAAAGTTCAAATAAAATCCGTGAACGAAAAGTAGTTGTGAAATCAATTACTAGATTTATTGTCGAGAAACGCATTATCAGACTCAAAACAATGTTATATGTACATTTATAAAATGTTTATTGTAACCAATGAGGTAACCAAGGTGGTAAATGTTATCCACAAAAATAAAAAAATTAACAGTTTTAGAAGTACCTTATGAGGACGTCAATTCTATTCCATGTATCGAATCCACTGTGGTCAAGTGGGTGAGACACTTATCAAGAGATTCTCCGGACTAAGTTCAAATCCCCTTAATGAAGGTTAGAAATGCTTTTTTTTGTATTTACTAATTTATATAAGCTATTTTAGCAGCTTTTATGCAGGAAAAATTTTAAAATTCACCGTGTATGTATGTAGATAGTAATTAAATACGTTTAAACGACTGATACACGAACTCTTATAAAAACTTAAATAAGAACTTACATAAAAAATTACACAAGATCTTATGTAAGTTCTCGGTTCATAAGCAAATGTAAGATCGTGTACAAGTTCTGACATAAGTTCTATTTAAAGAACTTAGTTAGATTTGTTCAAGCCCCTTTTGGTCAGAGATAAGTAGTAGTCTTTTAGATTTTAGATGCACCTGCAAAGTCCAATAAAAATCCATTGTGCAGTAATCTTCACAACCATTCATTTACTGGACAAAGCTTATAAGATAATGTATAGTACAGGCTTATTTAACTCTCGATAAATGCTGATATATTTCCCATAAGCTCCAATAAAAGTCGCTTGTTGTGTATACAGCTGCATTTCTTATTTATTAAATATTTGCATATCATCATAAAATCACATTGATTAATTGTAAGGTATTTCCCGTAAACACTAATAAATCATTGATTTGCTATGGATTTTATATGAAATTACGGGTGCAAACACACATCACAGTCTAATAAAATTTTTTTTTTATTGGTTTTTATTGGACTGTAGTTATAAAATAGTCAACTCGATCTAAACAATTGCTTCTTTCTTTTAATTAAATACAAGGTTACCTCATAAGATTCCGTACATTCTGGCAATTTCGGTAAGGCTTTTATATATTATGCTGGTGTATAGTAATAAATTTTGTTTGATGTTATCACATTTCGCACAAGATTAGAGAATATAAAAACGTAGATTGTGACTGTGTGAACACAACATTTATAAGTGCGTATATACATGCTTGCACTAGTGTAAAACTTGAGAAACACAAGTATTCGCTGAATTCATGTACAATTTTGAAGTAACGCTAATCAGACAAAAACAAGAACTACAGACTTCGTGTCTTTATCTTTGTCTTTATGGCTGGCCTTGTGTCACTGTGACATCGGTAATCGGTACGCCATATTAAATCTATTTATTAGGTGTTTTTAAATCTGTATACTCGAGAACTAATAATTCGAGGTACCATTGATTCTTACTGCTCTAATGGCACGGTACACATTACACGTACCACAGAGCCAAACACCGTTTGCCTTACTCTCAGATGGCTCGGTAGCATTACACCATACTGACGAGGAGCTCAACAGCGTTTGAGACTTACGAAAAAAACCACAGAGGTACCCGTGAAAAAGTGACGGAGCGGGGTCTTGAACTCGAGTCCTCCAGACGGAAGGCAACCGCTCTACCACTTAAGCCACTGTGAGCTTTATAGGCTCCGTGCATGACACAGTGAGTAAAGGGACAGTGCGGCGGATAGGGTCACGCGGAGCTGATTGGTTCCGCCATTTTCAGCACCTCCCACTATCTTCCAGTGTATATAGATATACAGTTCTGTGCCTAAGTCATTGCAGGGCCTGTTCTATAATTGCGCTGCCCCTATGCACTTGCGCAGTGCAGCAAAACCCAGCTAAAAATTTGTCATAAGATCTTAAATAAGTTCTTATGTAATTTCTTACATAATATGTTTTTATGTAAGTTCTCATAAGGTTTGTTCAAGCCCCTTTTGGTTCGGTTCTCTTAACAAAATATACCTATATATACAGAACCAGTTCTGTTTGGTTCCCTGTATATAGGTATATTTTGTTAAGAGAACCGAACCGAACCAAAACAGAGATTAGTAGAGAGATTGCTGACTGCAATGCTACGGCGCGAGTTCACTTTTGGCCACTGTTTCGAGCGCCCCGTCGCGGCCAAGCGGTCGAACCAGGCACACATTTTTTTTTTTTTATTTGAGAAGCGTGGAGGGGGTATACCGAGTATGTGCCTACGGATTCGCGTGGAAATGGGCATGTAGGCACATACTTTGGAGACGCGTGAAAGGGGTATACTGAATATGTGTCTACGGAGAGAGGAGTGGTGCATGGAAATGCCGACTACAGCTATATAACTATATACCCGCGTATATCATAGCGAAAGAAAGCGACGAGTCTTTCTCGCTATATACTTATACTTACTAACTTCTTAAATAAGGTCTTAGAAATTAAGGGGAAATAGAGAAGAAAAAAAGATTTCACATCTAATATTTGTAAAATAAAAAAACCTATTTTAATTTACAATTCTCTATAACATATGAAAGTTTAAGAGAGGCTAGCCATATTATTTTTCGAAAATTAAATCATACAAATAAATGTTTACGCAATTGGAAGCTCAGACTTTCAAGGCATTTATTTTTTAGTTCTTCTTATACTTTGGATTTTCGTTTAGTACTGCGTATCAAAGTACGTTGAAAAAATATTTAGC